TTCACATATGACACAAGAACATTTGCAAATGCAGCATCACTATTTTACAAACAATATTTGTTTGTGAGTGTTAATGAAACAAAGCTTCTCTTAAATAAATCCCTATTACCCAAGTCCTTTATTTGTTTTCCCAAACTTATTTAAGTGTTTACTGTCATGTTTATCTACATTAGAATCATTTCAGACTGAGTGACACGTGGTTCGACACCTACAAACAAAGTGAAAGTAACATTAAGGTCGCACAAATCGTGGAATATGAAACCGAGCAAAATTAATCTCACAGAAGAAATTTGATAATCTTTAAGCATGAATACAGACACTCATAATATAGTGACAGGTAGATGTCGTTAGATCACAGGTGATAAGCCTCGGGCCAGGTAACCGTTTTAACATTAATGAGATTGTGCCAAAAACATTTTTATCTTAACGTATGCTACATTAAGTAAGCTTGATGTTGATTAAAGTTGAAATCTGTCAAGTAACTATTGAATTCCCATTATTATAATTGTTTTGGATAATATAACCCGTTATATTACAATGAAACAGCCTGTAACCTGTATGCATATACATGAACAGTCGTGCCAAAACAACGATGAGGCTATTGCTGTTACAGAATAGTTTACTTACTGTATTCGACTTTCTCCTGTTGGAGGTGCCCATTTCTACGTTTCGTTCTGGAGCCATTGCAAGTTTAAGTGATAATAGTGACCGGACCACGAGGAATAAACCCCAAACCATGATAGTTTAGTGATTAAGCATCGCTCTCTTCAACCTATACAACTACAAATTTATTAAATCAGCAACCAAGTTATTTTCGTCATTCAAAGGGAGACAACTGCTGATGGTAAAATATTTACTTTTCGCTGCAAACTGAATCAACAAGTGCATGTACACAGCCGCTTTGTTTAGACTATTGGAGAAATCCCGATAAACACATGAGTAAAGAGAGACTAAACATGAAAACCATATTGTATCACGCGACGCGACGACTTGTAAAGATGTTAAAATGTGATCGCTAAATACACTGCAAGTCTGCAAAACCGCAACACGTTAAGCTTGCTATGGAAGGAGCGAGGCGTACATTTGTCAACCTTGTGTTATATCTAGGAAAAAAATAAAAGGATATTTATCTACACGGCATGAGACCCTGAGGTTGTTTTAGTTAGACTTTCCTTACGACAAAAGGTATTAGCGGCCTTTTTCGATACATATGAGTGTGATTGCACTTTTCCGGTTGATGATTTGTTTCTTTGGATTGTTTGGCTTCCAATGTTCAATGTGTGTGAATAAATATTACGTCATTTTGGATTGTGATATCGATATTGGCTTATATTTAAACAAACTCGAACTCAAAATAATACGCGAGATCTGTTTGGTTTTCCAAAAGGATAGCAAAATATGCAATGAAAAAACTATATTAAACATTCAGGTTGTTATTTGACGATATTGAAGAAGGCACAGTGAACAATACGATGAATAATGATATATAAAATATTTATATTGAACATGGGTATTTCTAGCAAATTAAACGAGTCTTTGGAGTGAGTGCGTTAAAATTAAAGTCACATTAACATTATTTCAGACATATTGTGACTATGAAAGCTATAAACAAAAACCAAAACAAACTTAAAGGATAAACATTTTGGCGTCCAAAGTACAGTTAAATAACTAAAATATTATAGATTTATGTTTAAAACTAGCAAGAGACCATGAAACAATATTTCAGTGCATTACACATTATAAAAACGGGTTATTGATCGCCAGCAAATGGAGGTATATCATCGTACTAGAGACAATGAGGACTTACATTACTTTCGCTGTTTCCATAAAGCCTGCTGGATGTACATCATCCCTTAGATAGCCATTGTCGACAAATCTCGCCATGAATTAAGATAACATATATTCAGCCGGGCATGTTTGACTGTAATTCTTACAACACAAGGCATACAGAATGAAGGATGTTTACCTTTCAATATATATTCATTGAGTGTATTGAGAATGGCCAATACGGCATCGTTTAAAATGACCTCTTCAATTCAGGACTCACAACCCAAGTAGTTGTAACCGATAGTTTGATTTGATGTAACATGTTTAGACCTACTTGTCTGTCCCACTTAATTTGCATTAGATCCTGAATGTAACTCCTAATGATTGGCTTATAGTCTGTGTAGGGAATGAGAAGTGATGTCACAGATTTGTGCAGCGTTAGAATCAGCCATCGTGTTACTCGATGGGCCAAAGAAAAACAAACCCGATGTCGTATTCACCAGTAGCATGAACATTAAATAATATAATTGTATCGTTTAACACCTTTGATAAACTATTAATCTTAATCTTTGATAAACTATTCAGGTAAATAATGTGACAGACGATGTTCTGGTTTGTGGGACACCTTGAGCCTGATTATAATGATAAAGACCGGTTTGAACCACCCAAACTTGAAATTGCCTGTCATTTAAAAAAGTGAAGCAAAGGCCCTCGGGATCCCAAAACGTGTAAATCGTTTAAAATCACATTTTTCCTTATCGTAGTGTCGTATGGGTTTTTTTCTAAATCGAAAAAGACAGACAGTGTATGTTGTTTAAGAATCATGTCATTTTAGACAAATGATTTTAAACGAACTAAATGGTCAATGGACTTCTGTATATGGGCATATATAGGTTTGACACACACACACACACACACACACACACACACACACACACACACACACACATATATACACACATATACACACACACACACACACATACACACTCACACACACACACACACACACACACATAATTATATGTACCTTGTTGGTTCCCATGTGCCAAAGTAATCAATTACTGATCAATTACTTTTGCAAACGCAGCTTGTGAATAATATTGGTCAATAATTCGAAGGATCGGTGTGATCACGTCCAGGTTCAGGTATTGGGACAATTATAGCATCACGCCACGAAAAAAGAAATTTTCTCGACGTCGAAATGACATAAAAAAATATCAAAATGTTCTCCATAAACATGATTCTGGTAAGACTCCCTTTAGGAGATTATGATGTATGTAGTAAATATCGTGAGCTCATGAATAGAAAATATTTCATCGAAATCTGAATTCAAATTAATAGTATTCTTTTCTTGCTGGTTTTTATACGTTTTGAATTGAGGTACACAATTAGATGAGGAAGAATGTTTGGTCAAAGTGTATTAGCAATATCAGTTTCATTAGTTAAGAACAGGTCTGCGTCCGTAGGATGGTGAATGCTAGATTTAGATCCCTTACCTTTGATTTTCTGGATCATATTCCAGACCTTCATATTCCAGACCTTCATATTCCAGACCTTCATATTCCAGTAGCTATGAAGAATTGATTTTGGATGCATAAGTTCGCCAAGATTGGAGTTTACTTTGTTTAAAAGTACGCAGTACTTTAACATTTTAAATTTAGTTTTTTTTAGGATTGCGACTAAAATAATGCTCAGCCTTTCCCTTGCCCGCTTAGCTTATGTGCAGTCATCGTGGAAGCATGGTGTTCGCATGAGTGAAGTTGAGGAAGACCTAGGGGTTAACTCATTAGCAATGTTATTTAGTTCATCAGGAAAAACGTCTTGGGAAAAAAATCGGGTTCAAGTCTGTTAAGTCCGTGTTTCATATAAAGCCCAATTAGCTTTTATACAATTTCATCTTGAAGAGGGGAAACATCATATGGGTTCACGGTTTTTAGCATTTTAGGATAATGGTCACTCCCACACAGGTCGTCGTGGATTAACCATTCAAATTCAGTAGGTTTGAGACTGTAACTGGTAGATCCAGAGCTGAATATGTTCTTGTGCCAGGATGTAAATATGTGTCTGAACCAGTGTTATTCTCATCGTTGGAAAAAGATTCACTTGTTTCTTATAGAGGATCATATGTGTGCACACAATGCAACGCACGGACTCTCACACATCATTGTGAAAAATTGACAAACCTTTGCATGTGTTTATGACGCTTGTCGCCGGTGGGGCAGATACGTTCAACGTTTCGTGAACATCTGGTATCATCACTATTTGATAGTGATTTATAAACACATCCTCACGATATAGTCCGACCTGTACAATATGCTTTTTTGAGCTCTTATGGATGTGGAAAAGTGTCGTCACTATTCTTTATAAAGACCATTACACTCTCTCGTGGACCCCGTCCTTCCCATCTGGATGAATCCATATCGTCATGTGTTACTGCCATTGCCAGCAGCAAGACACTTTCAGTGTCGGGTAAAATGTGTTTGCAAAATGACGCACAAGAACAGTTTCTTCATTCAATTGATAATTTATAAAAAAGAAAATATTATCAGGCAATTTCAAACTAAACCAATTCAATAAGGTCATTCCCATATATACCAAAACAAATGTGAATAAGATAACGAAAGTGATATGCCAATTACTTGTATATACTGTATATTCACATATATTGTTTGCAATGAAAAGCATAAATAATAACAAATACAAACTATAAAAGTACACTAGTCAGGTTTTATGAATGAATATTGTTAGATTTAAACTGTTTACCACAGTAGGTAGATATTTTACATTTTCATTATCCTCTGCTTCCAATGTTCCCGTTAAATGGGGACATGGGTACAAGTGAGTGAGTGAACTTGGTTTGATGCTGTTTATCTGTTTGATATGGAGTGAGGGAGGGAGTTGGGTTTAACGCCACCTACATATCACAGCGTGTTATCTGTATGAGGTAGGAGAGCCCAACAGGTGAGACAGGTCTTGTCTTACCACTGTGGTGAAGTAACGGTCACCTGCATGGTGCTAACAAACTTAGGAATGTGATTGTGTCAAAATCGGATTCGAACCAACAATCATAGGTTGCTGGCGTTTAAACTCATTTCAGTTATATGAATTCACATACATGTCCAATGAAGCGTGATTCTAAACGATTATGACAGTATACTTAGTGGAGGGAAGTTATACACTTTACCCAGTACGTTTGAGTACATTAAGGGAACTCTGTTGTTCTTTCTTTCAGGCTGTCGGTATTTTGTTCTGTGTTTCCCCATCTCCGGTCCGTCCTGAATTTCATTCCGACGAGAAATTATAAACTGTTTATTTATCTCAATAAACCTCGCCGCTTTGGACAATGATGTGGTACAAAAGAAATTAAGGATTATTACCAAGGTTTTTTTCCAATTTCACGGATGTTTTACAGAAACAACACAAATAGTAAAAAATAATTTTTGTGACTCTTGCTGGTTGAGGTTGGAGAAACTCAAAGCAAGGACGTCCATACACTGAACAGTGAGTGAGTGAGTGAGTTAGATTGCAGGTTAGATGCAATTCACACAAGTTTACCACTTTGAAGAAACTCACGAGCATGGTGTACAGTGAAAGGAATACGGTTATATGGATGCAAGGTTGTATGACCATATACTATACTTACTTCATATTACCTGAGGCGCAGAGGGGTAGCCTAATGGTTAAGGGTCCGCGCGTCATGCCGAAGACCCGGGTTCGATTTCCCACATGGGTACAATGTGTGAAGCCCATTTCTATTGCTGGGTTATTGCTAAAAGCGGCGTAACACTATACTTTCACTCACTCACTCACTCACTCATGTTACCTGTAATATTCCCCTATAAACACATTACACTTTTTATGCCTGTCGTGACCCGGATAGGTCTGGCCACGCAGTTACAAAAACAAGCAGAATTCTGTAAACATATTAGGATGAAGTGTAACTGTGTATGTTATCAAGTACGTGAAACTGTTAAAATTAGCAATTTCAAAAGAACTGTCAATTGGTAAAGGAAGATGAAATGTACTACCTATCTGTGAACGTTTCTGTACATTCTGTAATAGAATAAGTATTTTCAAAATGCTCTTAAAGAAAATATTATTATGACAAGTCTAACAAATATGTCCAAATTCCCATGGAAACGAATATATTACTCTGCTAAGCCCAGCATACCACGTATATAGTCTTGAGTAGTATCGAGTTCTGATCTGCCAATCACCGAGACCAGCCACTGGGACCAGCCACTGGGAAAGGGGGTCATTGAGTGTGCTGTTTATACATTTCAACTATTTCACCAATTTTTAAAATTTTCAGCGGAACATGCACACTTTTAAACTGCTTAAAACAAGGACTATTATATATACACTTGTTAGCATATTATTTACACACACGTTAGCATATACAGTTATTGTAAATACTCAAAATGATTTGCTTTAATAGGTCTTTACACTCATCCGAAGCTAAAGATGATCAATAAATGTTGTTTTTATGAAAATAACAATGTTTGTAATTTTTGCCTTTCCTTTGGATGTGACATTCGCATCTGCACTACTGATACCGATCCTTCGAATACCATATTGAAACATATAAACTTAAATTAAAACTCATGCTACCTTGCTGTTCCTGATTTGTCACTTAAACTGGCGTTGTGTATTTGATACCAAACGCCGTAATAAACACATTGACCACGGTAATGAACATAATCAAGGCCACTGAGGCATTGTTCAAAGAGTTGGCCTTCTTCTGTTCCTCTTCAGTCTTCACCTCCATCGTTCCCAGCACGAAGATCAGGATGCCAGTGATGATCTGCAGCGCGATGGACACCCCCAACAAGGACAGCGTAGTGTAGAAGAAGCTGTTACGGGCGTCTCCTTCAGGTAGATCCAATAATGCTTTCAGCTGCGTTGCGTTAGCCATGAGAAGGGCGAAGTCAAGGAGCCCTTCTGCGACCGTCTTCCTTGTGGCGTAAGCCCGCTTTGTGTACCCGGGAGGTACATCACCAATCTAAAGAGACAGTGAATTAGTGGTAGACATCAGCTTGCACAGTGTGTTTGTTTGTTGTTTAACGCCGAACCCAGCAATATTCCAGCTATATGGCGGCGGTCTGTAAATAATCGAGTTGGGCTAGACAATACTGTGATCAACATCATGAGCATCGATCTTCGCAATTGGGACACGATGACATGTGTCAACCAAACCAGCGAGCCTGACCACCCGATCTCGTTAGTTGCTGAAGACCAATTCTAACCCGGATCTTCACGGGTCAATCTATTCATTTCGTTACCCATTTCGTAATGTTTAAAAATGTATGATTTGCGTTGATCTGAATATTGCATTGATATATATTCCAGTGTATCCAAGCACCCAACCCAGGTTAATTAAGCACAGATTTGATACTGTCAAGTAGATAGTAAACAGAACAATCGTGAACTACAACCTGAAAACTGGCGTCATATACCCACCCGTTAAGGAAATATATCACCGTGGACAGCTAGGTAAATATGTGTGTGATACGCCCCTGATACACACCAACCACGGTATGTTATACCCCTGCTTCAACACATGCAGGCAACTCTGACATTCAGTGGTGATACCCTCAAGTACAATGCACATACAGAGGCAGCCAATTCACGAAAGCCACAACAAATTATTTGAGATTTGAAAACCAATGTAACCCAGCTTAGTAGTCACGATATCTGTTCACTTCAAAGTAATATAATTTAAAAAATATTGGACAGAGGCCCAAACAGCTTTCATTCATGGTGCAAGGGATTCAATGTTCGTGGGTTCGAATCCAAGTTCATCCTTATGATCTTAAATAAGTAATTTTGTGTACGTCCTACAGTAGGGAAACCATTGTATGGATCCTTTATGTATCTATCTTACAGCTGTTTGGGAGACCGCTTTTTACATCGACAAAACTGTACATGCATATAAAGTATCGTCTTAGACAATTGCATATTACAGGTCGCAACGCTCCTCGTTACCGCTGTTCACGAAATTGGAACAACATGCGATGACATGTGTCTACTATAAGTCAGACAGCCTGACCACCCGATCCCGTTAGTCGTCTCTTGTAGAAATGTAGCACCCATGTTTCACATTTAGACCTATCAACAACAACTCAGGCTGACATAAGTGTCTGTAGAAGACGAGAGGGAACTGGTTGACTATTCGACATCTGTTACCTTGGTTTGATTTTAACAGGTCGATCAAATACGCGTAAAGAAACAAATCAACAAGGACGGTACCGAATTGGTGCCTAAATGCCATGTCCCCAGATGTTATCTTTGACGAAGTACATTACTGTCTATGTTATGGTACTAAAATGCACATTACTACATATGTTATGTTCAAAGTAGGAATGTGGACACCGATCATATCCTTAACTTCAGATATCACAGAAAATATATAACTATAACCTATCAACCAAATATTCGCATGCCAGTTTGGTATACCAGTATACGTTATTGCTATAACATGACTAGTTTTACAAATCACATCCGTCTCATGTCAAGACAGTCTAATCTCTCGAGTTAGTTTTGGTCAAATGAAACATGTCTAAAGTTATGCTGACACTGAATGCCTGTTCAGGTATTACAGAGAATCCCGGAGTTCCCGAACGTTGACATACCTTCTGATTGCCCTGCATATCCTGTGCTCCGACTGTCGCCATTATGAAATCATAAGAATATCTAAATTCCGGACGGGTTTTCTTCCAAAGTGAACCTCTTCAACTGATTTCTTGACTTTGAATTATTCTCAGAGGCTCAAAAATTCCTCGCATTTAACCGAGTTGTGGAATCACACGAGAGAAACCCTTTTCAGATCAATAAGGCGACATTTTACAGATACACTCCCGATCTTACGAGCTGATATCACAGATTGTTACAGCCTGTCGCTAAATACAAGCCTGCTAAAATTACACATTACATGCAATGTTAAGTTTGAACTCGAACCTGTCGACAGTGGGCGAGATAAAACAGTAAATCTGGGGTAGACCCGACGAGGTGACACCCGTCAGTACCTTACTGATAACACAGAAGCTGTGATTTATATGAACAGTTCCCTTCCTGGACAAATTGTTGTCATAAATTTCTCCCTTATCATGTTAAGCGTTGTCGTCTTCATCGATCGTGGCTGTGTGGTTGTGTATATTTGTCATACATTGTCATGTGCCATGCTTGTGCTGATGGTGAGGTAACCATGATGACCGACAGGTATTTTTGGTTTTCGTCATCCACCGAAGACATGCTTTCACTCGATGTGATATTTACAACGTCACCTTAAGGACGTTACACTAAAACAAAAAGTAATAAAACACTTGTATGTTGATCCGAGTTGAGGGATCGTGAAATAGGCAACACATTGGTAACAGGGTCGGAAGGCAGTCTGATGTGCCGTTAGAAGGACGTGAATGTCTCTCAATCGACTTATAACATTAAGGTCGCAGCCATTTGAAATGCCTTACGTAACGCAACTTTGTTATGTTTAACAAAACGTTACATTGTTGTTTCGTCTGTTGCTGCTGGATCTGAACGTGAAATTCCGCTATGATCTGAATCGCCAGTCATCCTCCTCTGCAATTTGTTTGTTTGTTTACTTAATTTGTTTTCCAGCATATAGCTGGAATTTGCTAAGTGCGGTGGTAAATAAATAAAAAAATGTTTTGTTTAACTCAAGTTAAATAATCGAATCTGGACCAGACAATCCAGTGATCCACAGCATGAGCATCGATCTGTACTTTGGTTATACGGTGACATACATCCACCAAGTCAGCCAGCCTGAGCCCCCGATCGCCTCTGACGCCTAACATGGGTTGCTGAAGACCAGTTCTAATCCGCATCTTCACAGCTGCACATTGCTAAATCTCCTTGCAATTTTCTAAATACATTTTCTGAACCTCACCCAAGTGTCTACAATTACATTACCACGAGTTGATAAAGTTACAAAATGCAATATTTTTACTTTTATCAACGGATGTTGATATATTTGACATCAGAAGACACGAGGGTGAAATTCTCTTTATCATCCAAAATCACTTTTCATCAGTTTTCAATGAAAAATGTACATCTCCGAACACGGCACTGCCATTAGACTTGCAGTGCAGCGATGTCATAGCATTGTAACGTCATCAGGTTCATGACGTCATAGCATTGTCAGGGCATTGTACAAAATCTACTGTCAAAACGTTTGATTTCACACAAGTAATATCTCCAGTGGAACAGTTTTGGATGATAAAGCACAATATTCCAGCAATGTGTCGGAACAAGGCACAGCAATGGGTGATATTATGAGCACCATTACGAAGCATGGTGTATTGTTCGCTGATGAACGCCACGCTCTGCGATATTCCAAGCATCAACAATAATAGCGTATACACAATGTAAACCATTGAATGATTGACGACCCGATCCATTTAGTCGCCCTCAAGACAATCAAAGTTGTACACATAGCAATATGGGCATATTTAATTTGACAAAGTAAATGTCATTATTCAACTCACTTTAGCCCATAAACCATGCAAATAACACAGGTAAATGATGAAACTTCCATTGCCAATTTCATTTCACTGATCCAACCCAAAGTTTGTCCTCTTGAAAGTAATAGAAGGATAGGAAATCCAATGTTTCTGACAGGGCTTGGCTAATCTGTTGAAACATGTATTGCTATTACCGTGACATGTAACCCGTAGTTTCATTCTTTGTTAACTTTGGTAGCATTTTTTGAAATTACACGAGATCTCAGAAGTATAATTCTGACACGCTAAATGGTAAAATGATCCACAAAGCGGACACCAATTTCATAGTTTATGCTTTATTCAATATACACATTCAAACAAGAAATATGCAAAGGAGATGGTATGAATTAAAATAATTATACACATTTACAATGGATCTTTAAACACTGACATATTACTTAACTGAAAAACATTAACATGTTTCATCATTCATTATAACCCTCGATGGTATGAATCACACAAACTAGTGACAAACAGTACCTGCAGGGAGGCGAATGACTGAAAACAAATGTGAATTAACAGGTGTAACACCTTACATAACTACATGTATGCTGATATTTGATATACCTGGCCATTTTCAGGATTTTATCCATCATGGCATTGTGAAATTAACAAACTAACATATACACCATTTTAGACATGACAAAGAGAGTTTCATGGATGTCAACTTCTTTATTGTGAGGAACACAACGTTTAGGAGTATATCCTTACTCCTTCATCAGGTGAATGGTGAAGGAGTAAGGATATACTCCGAAACGTTGTTTTTTCGCTTATGAAATAAGTTGACGTCCATGAAAACTCTCTTCCTTATGTGTATCTCTTCTAAATGCCATTCAAATATCATTTTAAACATGGATAAATGTGTTCATGAGATTCATCAATGAATAAACATCATATTATCCATCGAAAATTATTCCGTGGCACTGATATACGAATACATAGTATTTTATCCTTATAATAAGACTGACATATGAGTTCACAGCGTTTTAACTCGAGAACATTTTCCATTCCAGGCTGTTGCACATATTGACCAGTTCAGTAACAAGTGGATTTCATCGGATATACACTTTCTAATTGGCACGTGACTACGAGGAGGTCAACATGTCTCACCTACAGTCATGACTCGAGATATCTACCCTGAGTGTTATTCAGATATGTCCTCAGTAAAAGAGATCCCGAATCCTGTAATAAAGGTATTGAGCAAGGCTATGGTAGCAATGAGACCGATTGATACATTGTTGAGTGTTTTAGCCCGCCTCTCTTCCTCCTCGCTATCAGCCAGTATCGTCTCCATGACGTACATGATGATCCCCGTCACTAAATGCAGCAACAGGGTCAGCCCCAACATCACCACCAGCGGCCAGAATGTCCACGTCCTCAGCTCAAACGGGACCTCGAGGACTGACCTCAGCTGAGACGTGTTGGCTAGCAACAGGGCTAGGTCAAGGAAACCTTTTGCCACCGTCTTTTTAGCTGTGTACGAATGGGAGGCCAGGTGTGGCGGTAGGTCCGTCTGCAACGAATGAACGTGTTGGCTGTGAAATGTTAGTTTCAACGTTGTTAATTTACTCAATCCTAAATGTTTTCAATAGAATTAGCAGGTTAACAATGTAGATGTAGAGAGTAAGTCTATATGAAAACCTTTGTTTGTAATCACTTAGTTCTGTTTGATATGCAGTATACAAGGGGTATATCGGTTGTCGCAGTTTCCATGTACAAGTAGAATAACTAGTCTCGAGATATATTCCATTGGACAAAAGGCAAAATAGTTACATGCTCTTCCTACTCTTCAAACTGCTTGTCATAAAAAATGAATGGAGGCAATACACCGACGTATGAATACATTTGATTCTGTTTAACACTTTGTAAATCCTAAATTAGCGTTAGTCTAATTAACAAATATCTGCACATTGTAATAAATCACACACATGTCTTATAGCTGATCAACATAGGCACTACGTACCATTCTGCTGCCGGGTCCAGTGTACACGAGTCCAGTTCGATATCGATCGATTGTCACATTGTAGGACCTTTCACTGGGCGTGGAGAGTCACACTCCTTTGTAACAGCGACCACCAGACGAGGGCACGAGATCTGTCGGTGACGTTTCTCTCGGTAAGAGTTACAGGGATATTTATGACGCGATCAAAACAAGTCTACGGTTGGTATGTATTGAAGGCTGATAACCTTTGTGACCCAAATATAAAAGGATCAGCTTTGTAAATAGTTAAGCTCAGGGGTTTAAAGACGTTTGGTTTACCTACTAACTGCACATCGGCTGAGAGGGGATCGAGTGAGATCCATCAGCGAGTGAGTGAATTTGGTTTTACGCCGAACTCAGCAATGTTCCAGCTATAAGGCGGCGGTCTGTAAATAATCGAGTTGGACCAGACAATCCAGTGATCAACAGCACGAGCATCGATATACGCAATTGGGACACACTGACTTGTGTCAACCAAATCAGCGAGCCTGACCACCAGATCGCGTTAGTCGCCACATACGACAAGCATTGGTTACCGAAGATCAATTCTAAGCCGGATCATCACGGGTCAACGATGCATCAGCAAGTTTGCAGTTATTCGTGGCGAGAAAATTATCAAGTGTCCCATCGAGTATGTGTACCTTTTTGACAAACACTGAAACATGACATGGGCGTTTCTGAGATTCCAACGCATTAGGTTTATGACTTATCTAAGGGACGCAACTCTGCAAAGCGAATTATGCCCGTTACCTAAGACTGAAACACTCTATTTCCATAATGGAATCTGAATTGTCCGTACATTCGACATACATGAGTAATATGTTCTGTATCAAAATAGCAATGCGCGATATTCTTATGCCGAATTACACACTACCCCAACACAGACCTCCTGTTTGTCAGGTCGTCAGGCAACTGGGCTCTTGAAATCAGGATGTCTGGAATGACAACACATCGCTTCTGACATCAGTGTCCCCGGCTTATCATGGCTTTCCGCAACACGAAAACTAGAGACGGCACCACTAAATCATCGGGACGCGGCACATTACCTGACCACCCGATTCATATTTTACCGCATTTGAACAGCAATGCGCTGGTGAAGATCATTTATAATCAAATCCGGGCCCCCACGGGGAGAATGACAACTGTATGAAAGTGGTAATAGTGTCATTGTATGATGGTATAATGTACCTTTCTGTAGTATTCTTTATCCATAGTTCCTATTGCATACGGGGCGGTGGGGTAGCCTAGTGGTTAAAGCGTTGGCTCGTCACGCCGAAGACCCGGGTTCGATTCCCCACATGGGCACAATGTGTTAAGCCCATTTCTGGTGTCCCCCGCCGTGATATTGCTGGAATATTGCTAAAAGCGGCGTAAAACTAAACTCAGTCAGTCAGTCCTATTGCATACCGTTTACCCACCTTTCCAATTCTAATTAGCTTCATCTTCTACATGGTAACATGGCATATCTGTACCGGAATTTCACACCTGTTATGGTTACCAAAAATATGCATCTGTTGATTTCTGTAACATATACCCAAAATCTAAGCCCTTAAAACACATTGAATCAGTTTGAACGCCATAGTCAATGACTTCTTAAGGGACCGTTCAAGATTCATGGCAAGGAGCGGAGGGGGTTGGGTGTGTGGTGATGAGGAGGACTTCAGTGTTGTGAAGTCATTCAAAGATACGTTTGAGTGAGTGTCGTATGTTGTTCTTTTAAGGTTTCAAAGCATCATTAAACCTCTTATAACCTTTTATGGTGGACATTTGGAAGATATACACACGTTGCTGCAGATATTTCTTATGAATATGGTATATGAACACCCACCTGGAGATGTTGAAATATCGCTAGAAAGGTGAATGTTAGAAAGTGATGATATGCCTGGTGGATGCTGAATCTTTTTTTTTGAAAATCCTCGTGGTCTTTAGGATGTATTCAACTTGCCTCGGTCATTTTCATTGAATATAGAAAACGTGACTTTTAAAGTAATATTGAGTGTTCTATATACAACTAATATATCGAACAATTATTTGATTATTTTAAAATCATTTCAGTCGGTTTCAGTGGGGTACATCGGATCCCCGAGCTATATCTGATGTCAAAAAATACCTATGCCTAAGTTGCCAATAACAAGGGAGGAAAATCTAAAGTGTTATTCATGAACTGAGAATCATAATGTGCAGGAATCCTAATGAAATGGGCATTTGAAAGATTTACAAGTCACAGAAACTATCAGTAAACGCCTGAATGAAGACGAAATCATCTGTACAACAATTAATGATTCAATAAAACTTAGGACGGGATTCCATATGTTTTGCTGTCTTCCATGCATTACAAACCAACATGAACAAACTGTCTTAACAACCAACCTTTCGGCAGTCGATATACGCATTCTCTTTGTTTCAAGGTGATGTGTTTGAGTTGTATACTGATATACTTCTGTTTAGTCTACATGTTATCAGCAGGTTTACATCTATCATATCAGCGATTAATATTTTTATAAGAAATTAAATAATGTAACTACTGCACATTACCTTGAAGCGTTATGAAGGAAACCTCATATGCCATAATTTGAAGATAAGAAAAAGCTGCTTAAAACTATAGATACGTTAGCTGCTGGCATGTACGGGGAGCCGGAGTGTCTGCTTCACATGAAGGTTCTGGGTTTGGTCCTCTTAGTCTCCATGTCTATGGTCGGTGCTATCTTTGCTGAACGTCGAGGGGAACTATTTAATTGCTCCATGCCGTTTAAGATCGTATCAAGAGACAGTAACAATCTTGCTGCATACATCCGCTGCCGCTTCTACATCCCATGTAAGGTATCACAAACGGTGTCACAGACTTGATGAGTGCTGCCTTTGCAGCAGAACAGGCAATTTTGTTACAGATGATTCCTGTACCATTGGTGGGTAACCAACACAAGATGATATCTTCATATCTTCATCTGCTCCGAAATGTTTTGTTTGATGCAAATATCAAAATGTTGAAATATAAAAGAGTTGTATGTAACTCTTTTCACTTTATTGCAGCATGAACTGTATGTTGGTTACGATGATACCTGCTACATTCTTACTGTGACAAACACATCTTGCACTGATGTTATAAGCTGGGATATTTAGGATGGCATTCCACTGAGAGTGAGTGAGTGAGTGGATATTTATCTATACATAGTCTGCTGAACCCTAAGGTGATATGTTTCCCCCAAAGGTGGGAGTCAAAAAGAAATAACGTAAAATGAGTGAGTGAGTGAGTGAAATGTTATAGTCACATCAGAAGTATTTCAGCCATATCGTGAGGAAAACAAGTCAAACAATGATAATATATATTAAATGAATCCTGTCGACAATATTAGAATATCATAGATATAGATTAAACCTAGCTTGTAACTTCAAAACTATATCACTATTGAAGACAATACACTATATAAATTATATACTCATGCCAATAATGGTTGTCATTAAGAAAATTGAAAGGGGTGACAACCATTATTGGCATGCGTATACAATAAAGGATACAAACATCTATGTCTATACTTCACCCCATCACTTCAGTAGTTGGGGATGGTAAGAGACAAGTATAAGGATTATTATACTACTTTAAAAATAAGTGGTACAAACAATGCTATAGACTCACAATACCCTCTCAAGGGACAATACCACACTACTTCAGCCCCCATCTAGGGAACAGCCACTAACACTATCATTCCATCATTATATTCTATGAAGGTGTACCTCATAATTCATCAAATATTAATGTCTATTTTAAAAAGCAAGACACTACATGATAAATGACTAAAACGATCCGTAACCGTTTTTTCACTGAAATATTTATCTGAAATAAAAATCAGTCTGTCAAGCAGGATGTACTTGACCGTGATTCTTTCATCACAAAGGATACAATATGGGGGATCCTCACCTTCCAATAAATGTTCATGTGTATATCTGCAGTGGCCAAAATTGCATCGTCTTAAAATGACCTGCTGAATTCTGGGCTGACAGGATGAGTAGATGTAACCTATAGCTGGTGTTATTGAGTGCAGGTTATTGATACCTACTTAAGTGTCCCACTTCATTTGCATTTGATCCCGGATGTAACATCTGAAAAAGGTATATACTCACTGTAAGGTATCACAAATGGTGTCACGATATATGGTGAGGGCTGCCTTACCATTGTGTTACTGGTGATTTCAACATGGATGGGTAACCAACAGAAGGCGATGTCGTATTGTCCAGTAGCAAGATCATTATACAATTCAAGTTTCACCACCTGAGGAACATTGGTTCTATCCGTCACCTCCTCACCAGAAACACCACAGCCACACTGATGAGATCCCTAGTATTGTCGCGGTTAGACTAGTCTCTTGATTGGTATTACCAACGACCAACTTCACAGACTGCAGAAGCTGCAGAACACTGCCGCCAGGATTATCACACGCACAAAACTAACAACCCATATCCAGCCTGCATCGAAGTCCCTCCACTGGTTGAGAATCAAAGAAAGAATAGAGTTTAAGATTTTAACGCTAACCTACCAAGCACTAAATGGAACTGCTCCACTCTATCTCCAAGCCCTTGTCTCACCCTACGTCCCACCGAGGAATCTCAGATCTGCCGATCAATCACTTCTTGTTGTGCCTCCATATAAACTCAAAACTTTCGGACATAGATCCTTCAAACATTCAGCTGCTTTCTTGTGGAATTCCCTCCCTACAGACATTAAACTTGCTCCAACTCTCTCGAGTTTAAATCGCACCTAAAGACATTCCTCTTTCCTCTTTTTTCGCCACTGACTGTCTTGTGTTTGCGCTTAGAGCATGGCCAAGTGTTGTTGAGTCAAGCGCATTACAAATGACCTATATTATTATTAATTTCTAAAGTGGACATGACATACATACTTTTAATAGCTTGTAGGCATGAAAGAGAATCTGAAAATACTATGCATTGCTTATATTTAGTCTGTTCACTGGCATATTTACGATGACAGTTACAAAATGCGCTTGCTCTGGCTGTGAAAATGACAAAAGAAGATGTTTTAATTTATGCTACTGACAGTAGGGTTACACTAGGTTCCTGGCGGCCATGGCAGCCCCGTTTCGCCGAAACGTAGTGAAACGGGGACAAAACGGGATGGACGT